AATTCTACCCTTTCTTTATTTTTTCATTTTCCTTTGTATGGAAATTTTTTTCCATACCTTCACTTTCAGTCTGCGTGAATCTTTTGTTCTAAGATGGGTCTCTTGTAGACAGCAGATATGTGGGACGTGTTTTCTTATCTATTCAGCTACTATATGTTTTTTTTATTTTAAATATATTTTATTGATTTTATACAGGGAGGAAGGGAGAGGGATAGAGAGTTAGAAACATCAATGAGAGAGAAACATTGATCAGCTGCCTCCTGCACAACCCCTACTGGGAATGTGCCCGCAACCAAGGTACATGCCCTTGACCAGAATCGAACCTGGGACCCTTCAGTCTGCAGGCCGATGCTCTATCCACTGGGCCAAACCCGTTAGGGCCATGTGAGAGTTTTTATAAATGGGGGCATGCTGGGGACCTGGCCCGGTAGGCGCTGGTGCCCACCCTGGCTTTCCGGGGAGCTGGCAGAGACTCGATGGACCCTCCCCCCTGAGTCCCCGTCTCTACAGTTAGCGCAGCACTGGCCTCGCCAGGTCAGTGAGGCGGCGAAAGGGTTTGGTAGCTGACCAGTGCCCTCCTGACCGGAGTGCGTTTTCCCGGAGGTGTTCTTACTGTCATCGGGGACAATTACTATTTTTTTTTTCTTTCAGGAATAAGGCCCATATTTTGAAAATCACTTGGAAACTGCTTCTTAAAAATGGAAGTTGAATTCTGGAGAGAGTCTTGCCTTTTACATACAGGTGAGAGAACTGAGAGATACATATCAAATAATATACTTTTTTTTTTCTCCTTTCAGGCAATTACTCTCCTAACCGAATTAATTAGGGAAAACTTCAGGAACAGCAAATTAAAACAGTGCCTGTTGCCAGCCCTCGGGGAGCTGCTCTATCTGGTGGCCACCCAGGTGAGCCTGTCTGAGGGAGATGAGCCCTGCTGGGCGGGGACGCGTTCTGACATATCCCGGCCGGCGAGTATTAATAGCCCGTGAGAGTTCCCTGACTCTGCTGCTGAGAGCTCGCCCCAGGAGCTGAGGACAGATGCTGCTCAGGCGGAGAGAGGCTGTCGGTCGCTCCCTGTCTGCCTGTCTGGCTGTCATCTTCCCTCCCCTTTTTTGCTTTCGAGCAGCAATTTCAGCCGGTGTGCCGCAGTATTCCCGTTGTTTCTAAAAGCAGATGTCGAGAATCACTTTCCTTGGTGCTTACTCTACTTGGATGGGAGCGAGGCTGTTTTAATGAAGCCCGCGTCTGTGGCCATGACAGGCGACCGCATCTTATAGCTAGCCAACCTGCCGAGGGGATTCTGCCCCGGGTCCACGAAAACCCGTACGTTTTCAGGAGAGATGAGGGCTTTTGTGGGCCTGTCACTTTGAATATATGTCATCCTTAAAATCTCAAGTCGGTGCTGACCGAGAAGAGGCCGGCCCAGAGCGATGGTGCACACTGTGTAACAGACCTCGCCCGCCTGCGGGCGCTCTGCTCACACCCAGGGCACCAGGAGGGCGGAAGGCGGAGTGGGACTCTGCAGAGGACGTTACAGAGCAACGCAGTTGCAGTTTGTGTGGCTTTTGTCCTCCTGTCGGGGATGCCGCCCACCCCAGTCCGGGTGTTCTCACTTTTGCGGTTTTTTTTTTGGTTCAGCCCATAATCATCTCTCACCTGGCCTGTTGTCAGAACTCCCAGACAGTCTTCTGGCTTTGCTCTTGTGTTGGTAAAAGTGTGTTTTCCAGACATCAGCCATGGCGAGCCTGTTACACACACGAGAGGCTGCAGGTGTCGCCCCTCAGAGGCCCTGTGCCTCTCGTGTTGCTCATGGTCATCAGTCCCTCCAATTGCTTCTAGGCCCCAGTGCCCGCCTCACCTCAGC